CCTCTGGTTATTTTTTTTAGAACTGATTTAAAACCTGTATAGACTAGTTTAGTTGTAATATGTGAAACACAGCAATTTGATCTCCAACACTCAACTGCACTGACAAGTACTCAAGTGTCTTTTAAAATGGTAAAGTATGAAGTGTGTGGTATTGTTTATGTGACCTGCATTTATTTAAAATTCATTCAGAGCTTGGGTAGCTAATAGGCCAGATAATTATTTGACTATCCAGCAGGCACACTGATTTAAAGTGAAAACCTGCTAGCTACCTAACATCGCCAGTCACTCCCAAGTGAGAGCAGAACACAGATGCTAAGGCAGAAGTGTTGCACTGAATTGCATACAATTGTACAGGTGTACCTAATAAAGTGGCTGGTGAGATGCTCCCACTTGGCACAGCTTTAGATAGGTACAGGTGCTCTTTAGATTTGCTATGCAGATGTTATTCAAATTTATTTGGACCTGAAACTGAATGAAACCTTTATCTGAGGGAACATTTGCAATTTTACACAGCTCAAAGAAAAGTAAAATCAGCGTATGAGCTCCTCTTAGACGTTCAAAGGTCCAGGTTTGAATAGTTTACCAATGGACATTACAGAGCTCACACTTTTTAAGCCTAATTGCAAGAGCTATTTGTTTACCTTGGCTTTTAATTCATAGAACTTGATTTTATTCCATGCAGTTCTAATTATTTTGGTCAAAAGCTGCTGTGTTTTAAAGCACTACAAAAATAATTTGATTTCATCTCAAAAAGAATGTTTTCATTAATGTGAAAAAATGGCAAAAGTAAAAAAAAAAAAAAAAAAAAAAAAAGAGCCTATATATCTAGTACAGTCTCAGCTACTAGCCAAGAAAAAACGTCGTACCTTGCCGTCATGTTATAGCCTTTGTTATACTTCAGTAAAATGTAAAATTTTATGTCCTTGGTTGGCTGTTAATTCTTCCCTATGGAGCTAAAAATCAGTATTTTTCAAGGTATTGTATATTGTGACAACACTAAGCCACTGGAAGTCTAATAAAGCAGCATTTTATTTCCTTTTCTTTTCATAACACTTCTGTGACTGGGTGGGACAGAAAACACGTTTCTTCTTCAGCATTTTAATTTGTTTAAAAACAGTTTTTATAAAACACTTGAATCTAACCTTTAGAAACACTGAAGACTTGTAACACTTGTATTACCCCCTTCCACTGCAGGGACTCAACATCAGAGCTCAGCAAAGACCAAGTCAGTTAAAGTGTAACTGAAATGTTAACTGCAACTATTATGCAGAGTTCTCTTCTTTCAAATGTGGCCAGCACACTGAACCGATAATGTACTCAACTGTGCTGAAGGAAAAGCAGAAGCACGCTAAGCTACCTAGCTTCCACTGAACAGCAGAAACCTGGCTTGCTGGCATCAACACAGTTTCTCACTCAGTGCTACTTTTCCTTCATGATATTTCAACACCTGCTAAGTCACTGGCAGCTCTCACTCACTTACCCAGTCATCAATAATGCAAACTTGCAATAAACAGTAAGTTGTACATGCTCTGTGTATGACCAGGATAATCTATTAATATGTGGACATATGGTAAACAAAGGGTGAGTAGGTGAAGTGAAGAGGTGATTACCGAGGGATTCCCAAAGTGACGTTCATCTCTCCTCTGCCAGCAAAGTGGAAGGTATTGAGGGTCATCTGGGTGGAGGGTTCGCCTATGGACTGAGCTGCCAGGAGACCCACTGCTTCACCAGGGTTGCACAGTGAACGCTGCCACTTATAATGAAACAGCTGGCGAAGGCTGACATAACACAGAGAAGAATGACCTTACAAGGGTCTGTGAGTGTTGTGGAGCAACTGAACATGTTTTTTAAAATATAAATTAGACATTTAATTTGTTCTTGGTTTTACAGAACACAGTCCAGTGGTTGACCTCTAAATTAGGACTGAATCTCAAAATCCTCCCTAAGGTCTTAAGCCCTGAACCCTCAAAGACTTAAGTGACATCACTTGTAAGTGATCTGACTTCAATTGGGTGAGTGTGTGCGTGTATATTTTAAATAGAATATGATTTCCCCCCCCCAC